AAACTGAACTAAAAGTATATAAAAATCAAAACAGATCAATTATAAGAAATGAGATTGAAACAGTAATAAAAAGTCTTCCACAAAGAAAAGCCTAGGACTGGATGGAGTCACAACTGAATTTTACCATACTTTAAAAGAATTATCACTAATGTTCCTTGAACCATTACATAAGTTAGAAAGGGAAGGAACTCATCAAACTCATTCTGTGAAACCAGTATTTCCTTGATACCAAAATCTGATAAAGACAAAAGCACACAAGAGAAAAGCCTAGGCTGGTATTGTCATTAATGTTGATGAAAATCTCCTTAATATAATACTTGCAAATTTAGTTAAACAACACATTTAAAAGATCATGACCATCATCAAATTGATTTCCTATTGCCTAGATTTCTGTCACAGAAAGGGTGAGGTATCAATTCATTGTTGTGTTGAAGCCACTAAAATTTGGGACAACGTATTACATGGCAATAAATAATTCATAAATATCACAGTGGGTTACAGACACAAAGACTTTTAGAATAAGGAGCAGAATTTAGACTAACTGTCCACAGAGAGTTTCTACTCTCAGAAATATGTACTTTCATAGCAGTAAAAAGAGGAATAAATACACTCTCTACATGAAAATTTACTGGAAGAAAAGGTTATAAAACACAAAAGGGCAGGTCCCAAGTGATATACACTCAAGGTGCACATATCAGGTAATTAGAAAATATTCTATAAAGATGAACTTGCCAATAATTTTTATTTTCTTCCTACATGAAGATGCCATACAACTTTTCATTCCACAAGCTGTCCTGGATAATGATAATCTTGAGTTTATCCTTAACACCTGGAGCTATTCTAGGTATTTAATATTGTTAATATGATACAATTGGAAATACCCAGTAGATGAGTATGATGCAACTTCTCTCTTGGATACTACAAAATTCCAAAACTAGAAAGTAATTGACAGAACCTCAGACTTTTAAGAATGAAAGCAGAGACTTCTATGTTGACATCACTTCTTAAAGGAAATCCAGAGTCAGGAACTGTGGACCACAGGAATCATGGTGTGAAGTAGGACAGACAAGGCTGGACATGGAGGAATTAGCAGGAAGCAGGTTTATTGGCTACAGCCAGGTCCAGAGGGAGAAATACTTTTGCTACAATCACTTAATCCTTCTGAACCCCAAGTTCAGAAAGTTTTAGAACTCTATACCCAGTGTTTTAGAACTCTATACCCAAAGGCTCACAATATGTAGAAGTCTACATAAGAGCAGGGTTTTTTCCTATACTTCTGGGCAACTAATTCAGGCCAAGGACACTCTCTGTGAAAATCAGTGCCTGGGAAAGGGAGAGTTCTTCCCCCATCCCCCCTTCCCCAGGATCAAACTACTGAACTTTGTAATGCAAAAGCCTCTGTGAGGACTCTGGACCCAGGTTGGGAGGCCTTGAGTTAGCTTCTCTTATCTTTCTCACCTTCTGCAAACACACTCCCCGCCTGAAAATTCTTTTGCAGAAATTCTTGTTGAGAGTCTAAGAACAATTATGGTGAGGGTCCCTGGAGAAGTTCAATTAAGATTTGTGTGTGTGTGTGTGTGTGTGTGTGTGTGTGTGTGGAGGAGCGGGTGTTACTACAGTGAAATTATCAGAAATGAAGCTTGTTCAGTTACATTAATTTAGCTTCTACTCCTTACTATTATTCTCCAGGCTACCCCAACCCTCTTCTTCATGGACAACTGCCACAAAAGGTAATGTGAATACATACCAGTTCATTTGTTTTTCATCTTATTGGGAAAAAAAAAATTGTAAATATCCTACTAGATTGGTAGGGAGTGGTTCCTGTGACTTTCTTCAGAAAAAAAGAGAAACAAGAGGACATAATGTATGATAGTAATCTCTCAGGAATAATACCTGAAATAATGAACAGCTTCAACACAATCATGGTAAATCCATCATTCCAAACTATATCTCTATGAGTCCAGAAAGGTTACAGGTATACTAGATATGATGAGGAAGAATTTTGGTGATAATGGAAGTAATAAATGAAGTTTATTTCAGAATAAAACTTTGAAGTATGTTCTTACATTTAAGTACAATGAAATATCTCTGTTTCTCAATATAATAAGCGCTATTTGCCTAAATAAGTAAATTTCTGACTCATACATATTTAGAAGTGTTTTGAGAAAATTCAATGTACTACCATAAGTAATTGAAAAAATGACTCATACAAAATTCTCTGCATAGAGTTTAACTTAATAACCTCTGAGTTGCATCACGAGATTGCTTATGGCATGAGAGCACTATCAACATAAGCAAGGACTAAAAATACCTTATGCTACCTATTAGTACCTGAGCATTAGTCCACTGAACAACTGCTTTCACCAGAGTTGATACTAAGGTGTATTATTATTATTATTATTATTTCATTTTTATGTGGTATTGAGGATGGAACCCAGCGCCCCCAGTGCCTCGTGAATGCTAGGTGAGCAAGCTACCACTTGAGTTAAGGTCATTCATACTGATAACTGTAAGGTCCTTGCTTAGCATCTGGATGGCCATCTTAAGAAAAATTTAAGAAAAATTTCACTTTCCCACCCAAGGGCCTTTCTGAAAAAGGCTTACCACTCCCTCATACCAACTCCACCCCAAACTGCCCACATTAGGACCCACCTGGCTGTAATCTCCGAGCCTCCCCCATAAAAGTCTTGAACCTCAAGCCTGTATTGGTTCTATTGTCTATGGAGAGATGGCCTTTATTTGTCAGTTCTGACAAGTAAATTCCTGTGCTTATCTCTGCCTAGTCTCACCTTTCTCACTCTCCTGTCTCCTGGTTCCTCACTTTCCTTTCAGTAACACATGAACACAACTTTAGTTGGGTTAGTACATCTGAATAAATCCCTATTCAAAACTTTTTTTTTTTTTTTTGGTGCTGGGGATTGAACCCAGGGCCTTGTGCATGCAAGGCAAGCACTCTACCCACTGAGCTACATCCCCAATAATCTCTATTCAAACTTATGTGTACCATCAATATTTAAACTCTTTAATTTGCTCATCTTTGTCATCTTTAATTCACTTTATTGTGGAATAATTGGCACATAATAATATATACCCATTTTAGGTGTAAATTCAGTGTGTTTTGCTAAATGTACACACTACTGAAGTCTGCTCATAGAATACTTACATTATCTTAAGAAGCATAATTGTGAACAATTATACCAGCCCCTCGCTCAAGGAAACCACCGATCTGATTACTGTCACCATGTTAGTTTTGCTAGTACTAATATTAATGGAGTTATACAGTATTATGCACTGTTTGTATAAGAATTCTTTGGATCAATAAAATACTTTGGAGGATTTTCTACTTTGATGTGTATAGGGAAAGTTCATGCCCTTCATTAGTGAGAAGCATTGCCCTCTATGGATACATAATAATTAGCTTACCCAGTAGCATGGTGACAGATATTTGAGTTACATGTAGATTTTGACCACCTTATTAATATTTTATTGTCATTTCAATTCGCATTTTCCTGATCATTAAAGATGCTAAACATCACTTCATGCAATTTATGTATTTTCTTTGTTAAAATGTCCAAATTATTTGCCCAGTTTTACTAAATAGTTTGTTTTGTTATTATTGAGTTATAAAGTGTTCCTTAAAGATGATTGATGAAAGATCTTTGTCAAAAAGAAAGCATTATGAATATTTTCTTCCAGACTATGGCTTGTCTTTTAATTTCCCGAATAGCATCTTGTGAAAAAGTTTTTATAGAGCTCAACTGTTCTGCTTTTTCTTACAGAGTCCTGCTTTTAAGTGTTGATAAGGTTTAGAGTAGCTTTTGTTCCAGGACTATTTTTTCTCCTCTGTGAAGCCATGACCTCTGTGAGATCTCTGCTGATTATTCTGATTCTTAATGGCCTCATTAGAAATAAACCATTTTCCCTTGCTGTGTGAACATTCAGTCGATGATCTTAGCAGAGCAGTGTTTTTCTTTTTCTTTTTCTTTGGTTCTTGGTCATCCCATGAGTGTGCAGAATGATATTCAAAGACTTGTTGGCACACTCTTTAGCTCTCTGGAGTTCTTTGCATATCTCTATTTCTGGATATTCTAAGAGAATGAATTTCTCTTAGAAATTAATATCTGCCTCAGCATACCTGAGTTCTGTTCTGTCTTCTCAATTCAGTGAAACTCTCATTATTTTCCTTAAATTACCTTGCCCTGAATTGTATGCTAGAATTTTATCATGACATAAAACTATGTATGGTATAGGTGTAATTTTATCTTCTGTGATTTTCTACTCTCAATGAAATCAATCCTACTGCTCATTGTTCAGTATTTGAAAATAGTTGTTTCAATTTTTTCCCTAGTTTTTTAATTATCTGCCACTGCAAGACAGGATCAGTATCAGCTGCTTGTCCATGGCCAAAGAAAAAACATTATCTTTTTTTTTATATAGATTTTAGAAGAATGTAAGAATAAAAGAATTAAACGAAATACAAAAATACAAATATAGCCCATTTGGACACAACCTGTCACCATTCTGTCTCTTAACTCTAAGCACATCAGAATTTATTAACATCATTTAAAGATACTTACACAAAGTACATGTATGAAGACTTGAATTGAGTATCAACACACCTTATATACAAACAGAGATATGAAAAATTGTGGTATATATGTGTATTAAGAATTGCAATGCTGGGGCTGGGGATATGGTTCAAGTGGTAGCACGCTTGCCTGGCATGTGTGAGGCACTGGGTTCGATCCTCAACACCACATAAAAATAAAATAAAGATATTGTGTCCACCTAAAGCTAAAAAATAAACATTTTAAAAAAAGGACTTGTAATGCAAAAAAATGTACACGTATAATGGCATAAATTGACATGAACATACTTTATATACAGAGATATGAAAAATTGTGCTCTATATGTGTAATAAGGATTATAATGCATTCCACTGTTGTCGTGTATTTAAGAAAATAATAAAATCAATTAAAAAATAAAGATACTTATGGATTTTAATTGCCTGGGAAGAGGTAAAAAAGTTTAGTCAAGGTTTGTCTTTCAATTGTGGGCATCTGAGCTTTAACACCTGGTATTTCAAATGATCGTTGAACCTAAAAATAAAAAAAAAAAAAAAAAAAACAACTTTTGAGTTTTGCCCTTTATGGAGAAGTAGAAAACCTATTACACCGTAAGACAACATGATCATGATTGGGATTGATTCTTGCAGTGATGTGAAGGCCAAAGAGTTATAAAAACTTTAAGAGAAAAAGCCTTTAATTACACCAGCAGTTCCTCACTGGTAAACATAACATTATGCCCTAAGTCAGATACTAAAAGTCACCTTCAAATTGTAACTAATTCCAATACTCCTCCTGGGATATGGTGTTAATTGGGTCTCTCCAAGATTCCTGTTGAAGCCATAACTCCAGTATCCTAGAATTTGACTAAATTTAGAGATAAGGTTCTACATGTGTGATCAAGTTAAAACAAGGCTATTGGTGTGGGTGCAAATCCAATCTAAATGGTGTTCTTAGGAGGAGAGTTACCTTGGGCACACATAGAGACATGGGATGTGTACCCACAAAGGAAAGGCCATGTGAGAACGCAATGAGAAGTCAGCCATTTGCAAGCAAAGGAGATTCTTTTGTAGGAATATAACCTACTGACACTTTGGTTTTGGATTTCTAGTCTTCAGATCTATTAGGAAATAAATTTCTTTCATTAAGACACCCTGTCTGGGGTTCTTTGTTGTGGTGGTCTTGGAAAGCTAATATACCCACCCAATTAATTCTACTTCCAATCTTCAAGTAAAAATGTCTCATTGAGGTAGAATTGTTATACATTCAAAGTGTATGGAGAGGTAGGTTGTTTTTAGTTTTGAGCTCTTGCAAATTTAGCTATTGTGAATATTCATGTTGAAGTATTTGTGTTAACATATTTTAATTTCTGGTAGAATATATAGAAAAAGAATTATTGGGTCTTATGGTAGTCATGTGATTAGCCATTTATGAACCTTCAAAAATATTTTCCAAAGTCATTGTGCCATTTTAACTTCTCATGAGCTGTGTCTAAGAGTTACGGTTTTTTTCACTTACACCCTGGCACTAGGTGTGTTCAGTCTTTTAAATTTTACTCATTCTTATAGATGTTGAATTTAAATTTTTCTTTCTCTCATAATTTATAACATTTAACATATTTTCATGTACTAATTTGCCATCAGAACTTTATGTGAAATGTGGGCTCAAGTGTTTTGCATTTTTTTTAGTATTTTTATATTTCTTCCTTGAATTATTTTCTTTTTATATTTAAATAAAACTGTACATATTATAAAATTTATATATATGATGAATCCAATTTCTTTATATTTTATGAACAAAAGTCATATTTTCTCCTAATCTAGCACTGTCTTTAGCTTTAATTTAGCACTCCTAATCTCCTATGTCTTTAAAAGGGCAGACAATCTTGCCTTTTTTTTGCGGGGGAGGGTACTAGGGATTGAACCCAGGGGCACTCAACCACTGAGCCATGTCCCCAGGCCATTTTATATTTTCTTCTGAGAGGTGTTCTCCCCAAGTTGCTCATTATCTTGCTAAATTGCTGAAGCTGGCTTTGAACTCAAGATCCTACTGCCTCAGCCACCGGAGCCACTGGGATTATGGGCATGTACCATCATGTCTATCTTGATAAAGTCAAATTTAACATGTTTTAACAGACTGTGCTTTGCATATTACGGTTAATCAAAACTTTGCAAAAATTAAAGTCTCAAAATTTTTCTTCTCATTTTTCCTCTAGAAGATTTATAACTATAGGTTTAACATCTAGGTTTAGGATACATGTGAATTTGGTCCTCATGTGTGGTTCTAGAGTGAATAGAAGTTCTTGTCTATTTTTAGCATATAGCTATTCATTTGCTCTAGTGCTATTTACTGAAAACACCATCTCTTCTTTATTTTTAAATGTTTTCTGGATTATTAATCTCCATTATTATCTGTTTTTCTTTTATTTTTCTTTTGCTTAGTTTTCTTTTCACTGACTCTTCCCAGGGATGCTCTATCACTGATCCATATCCCCAGCCATTTTATTTTATTTTATGTTATTTTGAGACAATTTCTCACTATGTTGCTGATGCTGATCTTTGACTTGTGATCCTCCTGCCTCAGCCTCCAGAGTCCCTAGGATTACAACTATGCACCACTGAGTCCAGCATGATTTTTTCCAGTTTCTTAAGGTGGAATTTGGACCATTGATTTAAGGCATTTCTTTTTATTCTAATTTCTTCATGCAGTGCTCACATTGTCTTCTAAATAATATTTTAGTAATATCTCAGAGTTGATGATATGTTTCATTTACATTTTAATTTCTCTATTGACCATGTGTTACTTAGAAATACTTTATTTATTTCAAAATATTCTAGACATCTTACTAGTTTATTCTATTCTATTTAAAGAACACATTTTTAATGAATAGTCATTTGAAGTTTATTGAGACTTTTTTTGTGGCTCAAAATAGCCATTATCTTTGTAAATATTTTATGTACCCTTGAGAAGAATGTCTCTGCTGCTGTCTTTGGTTGAAATGCTCTATGCCAATTGGGTCAAGTTGTATTGATTATCTTGTTCACATCTTGTCCGTCTTTGACTTCTGGGGCACTTGTTCTATCAATTATTGAGAGAAGGGTAATGAAATCTCTGATTCTAATTGTAGATTTGTCTATTTCTATGGCAGTTCTGTCCATTTCTGCTCCTTACATATTAAAACTATTATTAGGCATGCACACATTTAATATTTTGATGTTCTCCTATTGAATAGATCCCTTTATCTTTATGGTATTACAAATTTTTATTTCTTCAAGTATTCTCTGCTGTGAAATCAATTTTGTCTGAATCTAATAATCCATTTCAATTTGTTGTTGATTAGGGTAGGTTTGATACACTTTTCCTATACTTGTACTGTTAACCTAGTTGTCACATTGTATTTAAAGTTGATCTGTTACAGTTGACATTTACTTGATTGTATCTGACAATATCTGATATTTAATCTGTGTGTTCAGATGACTTTCGCCTTCTTTCTAGTTATCCTGATTTTCTTGAATTGTTATGCTATTTAAATGTTCATTTATACTTATTAGTTATAATTCTGATTTTATTTTAGTAATTAATTGTGGGCTTATGGTAAATAACTTTATCTTAACATAACTTTAACTTCTGATGACATAGCCTGATCTTACCACAAGTGTTACTGTGCCACCTACCTATAATGTATAAACATTCTGACTTTAGAAATCTATTTCTTCCAGAATTTGTTCTAGTGTCATATATTTTACTTTCACATCTATTGTAGAACTGATACTATATTTTTATTGCATATGTTTAACCAGATGATTTTCTTTAAAGAGATAGTATATGTGCATGTTTGTATACACATTAACATAAACTATGTATGTGTGTGTGTATATATATATATATATATATATATATATATATATATATATATATTTATATATATATAGTTGCTATTTCCAGTGCTTGTATTCACTTTTATAGACCTACATTTCTAACTGGTATTGTCTTACATCTTCCTGATTGACTTCCTTTAACACTTCTTGGAGTGAAATCTTTTTTATGGTGGAAAAAAATGTTTATTTTACCTTTATTTTTGAAAGATTTGTTTTTATTTTTCTGAATAAAGAGTTTTAGGTTTACAATGACTTCATTGTTCTTATTATTCACAACTGTTTTCTAGCATGCATTATTCTTTCAATGAATTTGTTTATATTCTTTTTTTGGGGGGGCGGGGGTACCATGGGTTGAACTCAAGGGTCCTTGATCACTGAGCTACATCCCTAACCTTATTTTGTATTTTATCAGAGACAGGGTCTCACTGTTGCTTAGCGTCTCACCAAATTGCTGAGGCTGTCTTTGAACTCAAGATCCTCCTACCTCAGCTTCCTGAGCCACTGGAATTATAGGTGTGCACCACCGTGCTAGGCTTGTTTATATTCTTTTCTTTGTTTTTCTTCATGAAGCATTCCTCTTTCCTCACTTTGCTTTTAGGATTTTCTTATCAATAGTTTAAAAGAATAGAACTCAGGTAAGTCTTGCCGTCTTTTTCCACTATTTTAATATTTCAGCCTTATTGTCTTTCTTTAACTTATGGGTTTATTATATCTTTAATAACCTTTGGACATTTTTTAAAATCATTATTCAACAGTTTTATTCCTCCAAATTTAGAGCATCACTTGCACATGTATTAGCCTCTTCAATTTTTACCACCACTCACTGATGCCTTGGCCATTTTCTGGTGGTGGTTGTATTCCTTTTTTGCTCTCTGTGCCTTATCTTATACAATTTACTCAAATCAATTTTTCTTCTGTAATATCTAATATGCTCCTAATTCTATCCAATATATATATATGTATATTTTTATCTTACACATCCTAGTTTTCACACCTCAAAATTTAATTCAGGCTGGGTGCAGTGACACATGACTGTAATCCTAACAGCTCTGGAGGCTGAGGCAGGAGGATCAGAAGTTCAAAGCCAGCTTCAGCAATGGCCAGGCACTAAGCAACTCAGTGAGACCCTGTCTCTAAATAAAATACAAAAAAATTGATCTGGGGATGTGGCTCAGTAGTTGAGTGCTTCTTAATTTAATACCGGGTACCAAAATTAAAAAAAAAAAAATCACTATAATCCTTTTTATAACTTCCATGATTCTACTTGGCTATTAAAAATGTGGAATATATTTACAATAACTGTTATATTGTCCTTTTCTGCTAATCTTGACATCTGTGCCAGTATGGGTAAATTTTCTTTGATTGATCTCTTAATACTCAGTTTTAATTTCCTGATTATTTACTTGCCTGATATCTTATTAAATGGATGTCAAATAGCATTTATACACACATATAACTCACATATACATATTCATATAATTATGCTTTGTTTTTACATACTGTAGGTTGAGATTTATTGGATCCTTCTGGATTGTGCTTTTAAGATTTATTATGTAGGACCAGAGAATTATTTATTGTGAGGCTCTTTATTTTCTAAAATTTAGGAACAACACATCTGAGTCCTTAACAGGTATATATTGAGATTTTTCCAGACTGGCACTCTTCCTATTTCTTTATAAATATCATAGTGCTTTTTCTGCTAACCCATCAGTGTGATATTTATTTATTTATTTATTTATTTAATAATTATAACAAATCAGCTTAACCACTGAGCCACATCCCCAGATTTTATATATATATATATATATATATATATATATATATATATATATATAATTTAAAAACAAAGTCTCATTAAGTTGCTTAGGACTTCATTAAGATGCTAAGGCTGGCTTTGAACTTCCAATCACCTGCCTCAGCCTCCCAAGCTGCTGGGATTACAGTCATGTGCCACTATGCCCAGCTTTTAGTGTGATTCTTTTCCCTAATTAAAGTAGTCTCCTTATGCACATGCCAAACCATTCTCTGCTGAAGATCTCCACAGTTCTCCACAGTTCTCTGTGTAGCTCCCTGCCCTTTATTATCATGCGCTTTGAACTCTAACTACCTGTTCTGCCTGGACTGTCAGCTCTGTCTTCTCAAATTTGAGTCCACCAGATTCTACATTGCTTCTACCTCCCAGTGTTGTGCCCTGCAAATTCTCAAGATTATTAAATTATGAGATAATTGTAGGACTCACCCTGTTTGCTTCCTATCTCTCAGGGCATAGGGACCTTCATTGTCTAATGTTCAGTACACTGACTATTACTGCTTCATGTAAGTTTTCTATTTTTTATGTGTATCTCAGAAATGGTACAAATTGAGTGTGTTAACCCAAATAAGCTAGAAGAGTCTCTGATCTCTAAATTATAACTATCAAATTTCCCCTCATGGTTTATGTCTTGGAGTCTGAACCCTTAGAGATTCCTTCAATTCTTCAGACCTGCTCCTTTCATTCCTTTTAGATTGGAATCCCAGTGTTCTGTCCCTTAAGATCTTATTTCACATTCTTCGTTTGCTTGTTCTCATTCCCTCCTATACCTTTTTCATTGGTCAGTAAAAACAATTTTTAGGCCAGTCATAAACACATACTAGCCAGGTGTGGTGGTGCCTGCTTGTAATCTCAATAACTCAGGAGGTTGAGACAGGAAGATCACAACTTCAAAGCCAGTCTCAGCAGCTTAGCAAGGCCCTCACAACTTAATCAGACTTTGTCTCAAAATAAAAAATGAGAAAAGGACTGGAGATGTGGCTCAGTGTTTAAGTATCCCTGGATTCAATTCCTGGTACAAAAAAAAAAAAAAAAACATAAAACAAACAAGCAAAAACAATGAAAACATACCCACACCAACACCTATACTAATAATCCTATTCTATCAAGCTTATGGACAACCACGACTAACATAGGACTTATTCCTTCCTTTCACAAAACTCTCTTATTCTTTTCTCTAAAAATATGAAGGACCTATTTTTGAGTGATGTGCTTTTTAATTCTCTATATTCTACTAGAATATTAGCTATGAAAGTAGTGACTGTGTCTGCTCATTTTTATTGCATTGTCTGCATCAGGAATCCACAGTTCTTATTGAACGGGAACTCAACAAATGTAAAAAAAGAAAAGAAGGTTTGCACCAAAGGCATTCCATAATTTGAATATTTAAATAAATATCATTTCATATGACAGATTATATTTGTATAAAGATGCACTTATAGAAACAAATACAGCCTATCCTTACTCATCTCCCAATTTTTTAAAATTTTGATACAGATTTATTTTTTCCTATCAGAATGAGGTAATTTAAAAATAGCTAGAAAGCAAAGTGTGTTGCATTCTGAACAACATCCTATCAAAATACATAACTAGGTTATCGTGCACAATCGTTCTGGCTTCTACAATAAGTGAATGTAAGAAGTAATATATGATCTTACCATCATAAATATTTCTGTTAGGTGACAATACCAAGAATGTTCTTGAATATTATTTATAAGTTCTGTGATGAAGATGGAACCATTTTTTTTCCTCCAAGAAAGATTATCTGTGAGTAAAGACAAGGATAAATCTTGAGCTGTAGCCCTCATCCTTTCAAAAAAGGAAGCAATTATAAATAACTTTGAACAGATTTAAGGAAGGAGGAAAATAACTCAGATAACTGTGTTTGACTTTAAACACAAAGGGTAACAAGATGGGCTCTGATCAAACCATAAAGGGTATCATCTGAGGCTTGTAGCATCACAGGTGCAGGAGTAGGGCTCTGGAACCACGGTCCTGTGGTTCAGAATATAAATGCTATGTTTACATTGGTAGTATAGGTCACATTTTCTAGTAGATTTTTTTTTTAATCTTCAAATTTTCCTCAAGGCAAAATAGCTGCTCAGTGACAAGCAGTTATTGAACTCATAGATAACAAGCTGGCCCATGAGAGACAGAGGGTGCTCTGTCCTTGTTAACACTGGTTGGTTCAAATTCCATGTTAGTCATGGACAGAGATGTCTTCTGCTAAGGCTATTCTGTTCTATTTTTTAGTAGCTCTTTCCTCAGAACAAAAGTCTGTGTTTCTGACACTGGAATTGCCCAAAGTTGCAAATTAGATAGGCTGTGTATTGTTTTCATTGGTATACCTCAAATAGCCTGAACTTCAGAGTCAAACTAACTTGGATTCATACCTGGAAAATATTGCAAGTGTTTATTCAGGCAATTTATATGATTTTCATGAAATTCATGAAAAAAGAATGACAAAGCTTACCTGTCAGATATGTGCTAAATAGTAAATAAATATACATACCAAAAATAAATAAATAATTTATATTAAGAATAAGATTTTGCTTGAACATTTCATAAATCCTGTTTTTCCCAGGCCACTGACAATTATCTTCTCTGAAATATGCTACGTTATTTTTCAAATGGAATTGCCTTAAATATGATGATTTTTAAAATTGGTTCTCTACATTTTTTTATAACTCCTAGTTTGCAATTTTATTTCACCAGGCGCTGCTTATTATTTGGTGATCTTTTAATGACATCTAACACTTAGGTTTTTTGATTTTCTAAACTAGAAATTTTAATTTTTTGAAAAAGAGGTCACATTCCCCTTTTCATTTAAAAATATCCTCAGTGGTAAAAGCAGTGCATTCATACCAGTAGACTCATCAAACCATTACTGCTGTGAGCCTACTGACCAATCACCTACTAAGTGGATAAGGAAGACTGGCATCTGGAAGGATGTAGAGCAGAAGAGGCCCCTACTGCCACTAAACTGTAAAAGAATGCTACAGTAACGTGGATGGGATCTCCATTCCTTTCCCATTCCCTAGTAAAGTTTTCTGGCCATGTAGGCAGACAGGCCTCCTTCTCACACATCCTAACCCATCCATGCAACACATACATCCAACGAAATGCATACGTGGTGTTGAAGAGCAGAAAGCAACAAAGTCCTTCTCCACATGGGCCTTGTGGACACCATCATGCATCGGGTTCTCAGAAAACCGTGAAGAGCTATCCACTGAGCCTGCTGGAGAATCGCTGACCCACACCTCTCCAGTGTTTCCTATGGAGAATGATATGCTGTTATTTACTTACTCACTGCTGAATACATGTTAGTTCTTTGACAACTAAATAAATGGGATAGAATTTTATAAAGATTTTTCAATTAATTTCACACACACACACACACACACACACACACACAAGCACTATGGGTCTAGCATAGCCATAGAGGATGTCAATGAATAGCAATCACATTCTTGACCTGGAAGGTACCAACTGAGCAGAGGCAGTATTGCTGCTATAAACATACATTGGCTATGCCTGAGTAAAGAGAGCCGTTTTTAGTTTCATGACAGTTAAAGTGACAATAACACAAAGGTAAGGGAGGAAATAACTACTCTGTGCAAAAACAGACATTAAATTCTAAACCTGTCTTTTCACTTCCTTTCCTTCCTAATTGCTACTTCTTCCTTCTAAACCATTCCCCAAGTGATGTAATTACATTAAAGTTAAAAAAAAGTTATAGGAAAAATAAATGGCATAATAATTTTATTTTATTTATCTTATTACAGTATAATTTACATTCAGTAAAATTCATGACTTTGGTGAATTTTAACATATGTACAGTCATATTGCTACCTCTGTAACAAGATGTAGAATAACCCTCCCATCTTCAGCTTCTGTCAATTATTACCTTGTGTTATCCCTATATTTTTGGCTTTTTCCAAATGCCATGTAAAATAGAATCATGTAGCATGCAATCTTTCAGGTCTAGCTTCTTTCACTCACTTTGCATTGTTTAATTATTTTGAGACTGGATCTTGCTATGTTGCTCCTGTTGGTCTTGAACTCCTGCCTCAGGCTTGCTAATAGCTAAGACTACAGGCACAGGTCCCCAGCTTTAATTTGGATCCCTCACTTTCAGGTGAAATACTTCACAGTCAGAAATCGTAAAATTTTAATAACATATTTTTAAATTAAACCCTCTTCATGCCACAATTTTAATAATTCTATGTAAAAAATAATTTAGAATTCATATTATCATCACCACTGAACTGTGGTTCAATGACGATTTACTTTTAAGTTGGATAGCATTTCTCTACTGCCACCCCTAAATGCTCTTTCCAAAGAAATCTGTTTGATATAATGGCACAAAAAGTAAGGTTCATGGCATTTTCACCAGATAGAAAGCACATAGTATAAAGCCTCAGCCTGCATGACATACACCTCTCTTATCCCTGGGCCCCATTGCAACGTACCCCCTCTACAGGCCTGGATGATGATGACCTTGGGTTTGTCCTTCAAATGGGAACAGTTCTGGTTGTTGAAAATCTGGAAGATGGAATCATAAGGCAACACATCTTGTGTTTCATCACCATGTGTGATCCCACAGATCGCATCAAAGATGCCATGGGACATGAACACCAAGAATGTGCTGTCTGAGGACTTGTGCTCTAGGCGGGCAGCAAAATCTCTTAGGACTCTCTTCATGGCCTGTGAGAGAAAACATTTCATCATCACAACACAATACCTACACTTTCCCACGTTAAAGCTTTGAGCAATAGAAAGAATAAACATCAAGTGTCTGGCACATTTCAGAGCTTAATTTATAAAACATACACATGGATGACAACCATTATTATTTTTTGTTGCTATTAATGTTATTGTAGTAATTCAGGAAAATATTTCAATACTCTAATTCTATATGTTTCCCTTAATTTTTTCATAATATACTGGCAAATGTTTTATTGTGGCAAAATGTACATAATCCATTATTTATCATTTTAATAATTTGTGACCTTATAATTCAAATACATTCATATTGTTTGATAAAATCGCACTACTTTCTGTACCAAAACTTTTTCACCATCCCCAAGAAAAACTGCATTCATTAATTTTAACTCCTCCTTATCTCCTAGTAAACTCTATTCCACTTTTATTTTCCTATGAATTTGCTTATACTAAGTTTATCACATAAGTCAAAACATAGAACATTTGTCCATCCTTTTTGTTAAACACAGAGTTTTAAGACCCATTCATGTTGTAGAAAATACCAAAATCTCACTTCTTTTTATGACCAAATGATATTCTATTTTATCTTTATGCCACATTTTACCTACCTATTCATTTGTGGATGGACACTTGAATTTTTTTCCCACACTAAACTTTAGTAAGTAATAATATAATGATATAAATAACGACATACAAGTATATTTGCTAGAGTCTCTGCTTTTGATATGTTTAGATATAAATGTAATTAGGAGTGTAATCAGTGGGCCATATAGTAGTGTAATCTTTTAAGAACCACCCCAGAGTGTTTTCCACAGTGACTACATCACTTTACATGACAAACATCAAAATACAAGTTTCTAAGTTTTCCACATTCTGGCCAATACCTGTTATTTTCCTCCATTTTTTCCTCTTCCTCTTTCTTCTCCTCCTCTTATCATGGCCAACCTAGTAGGTGTGAAGTGGTGACTCATTGTGGTTTTGATTTCCATTTTTCAGATGAATAATGATGTTGAGCATCTTTGCATATGCTTACTGGTTATTTGTTTGTATTCTTTGGAGAAATAACTATCAAGTCCTTAACTTATTTTGTTGAATCAGATTGTTATTGAGTTTTAGGAGTTATTTTGTATATTCTGGATATTAGTCCCTTAACAGGTATCTGATATGCAAACCATTCTTCAGCTTACATTTTCACTCTCTTGTTCATATCTTTTGAGACACAGTTATATTTATCAATTATTTTTTATTGCCTGTGCATTTGATGACATATCCATGAAATTGTTTCCAAGTTTGATGTCATGAAGAATTTATTCAATGTTTTCTTCCTTGAGATTTATAATTTAAGCTCTTAAGTCTAGATCTCTGATTGATTAAAACTTAATAATGATAGTATATATAATTTATGTTAGGACTCCAACTTGATTTTGCATGAGAATGTCTAGTTTTTCCAGTATCATTTATTGAGAAGAAAAAGACTCTCCCTTCCTCACTGAATAGTCTTGGCACCCTTGTTGAAATCAATTAAACACAAATATGAGGCTTTCTGTTCTATTCCATTGCTCTATATGTCTGTATTTATGATGGTATCTGTAAGAGTTCTGACTGTGGAAATATATGGGACAGCTTTCCTCTAGTGAGCCAATTCCCAAGGGATAACAGGCACCCTGTCTTCCACAGTTGGAATATTCTGCAGTTTTCCCCAGGAACTAGAAAGATAACTAATCCACGTGCAAGGCCGAGCTGCTATGGCAATGCCCTGAGGCTCTATGCTAGAGTCTTATCAGCCTCAACCTTAATGTCAGGTATATAGCTCCTGGTAATAAAGGAATGTGCTATAACTATAATGTTTCACCAAGCTCCAGTGCTCCAGGACCTGCTCACCTAATGCCTAATGGTAACTTCAGATAATGGGCTTTCTTGAGAGCTACACAAAGCTCTTAACATTGCATATTGAACTGTAGAATGGAACTGCAGAACAAGAAAACTTTGTGATACAATAAACAATAATGTAGTTATGGCACTAATGACTCAATGTAACCTATTAGGGTAAATAAAGGTGGCCGCTTAGATGAGCAGCCATTTTTCTGCCTTGGCATCTTGTCTCTGTGTTTCCTTTTATTTCTTTCCTTTTTTTTAAGAGTATTCAACTTTATTTATTTATTTATTTTTATGTGGTGCTGAGAATTGAACCCGGGGCCTTGCACATGCGAGCCGAGCGCTCTACCGCTGAGCCACAACCCCAGCCCCTCCTTTTATTTCTTTATAGGTATCATATGTTTTAATTACTTTAAAAAGAAAGCGTTTATGATATGTCAAGAAATTTGTAATGTTTTGAACAACCAACAATAAAAAATTAAAAAAAAAAGAAAGCGTTTAGCTTTCTTTCTCTTTTTCAAGATTGTTTTGGATATCTGAGCTTCTTTGAAATTCTCTATAAATTTGAGAATTGGCTTTTCAAATTCTCACCCTCCCTCAAAAAAAAAAAAGTCTGTTGGAATTTTGATAGAGATTTCACTGTATATGTAGATCACTTATGACAGCATTAGCATGTTAATAGTATTCCCTTCCAATGCATACACATGGATTATCTTTCTATTTGTTTAGATTTTCTGTATTTCAACAATATTTAGTAGTTTTTGATGTACATGTCTCTCAGTACCTTTGTTAGATTTATTCCTAAGTATTGTATGCTTTTAGGTGTTACAAATAAAATTGGTTTTCTAATTTTCATTTCAATGTGCATTCTAGCATATAGAAACACAAGACCCTATTTTTATGTTAATCTTGTACTTTGCAACTCCTATGATGATGACTTTTTTTATTAGTTCTGATAGCCTTCTATTATAAAGCTAGTGGTAGAATCTGTGAATAAATAGCATTCCCTCTTCATTTTCAGTCTCTACGCCTCTTACTTCTTCTAATAGTTCTGGCTTGATCTAAAGTACAATGTTGAATGCACTGATGAAAGTGATCATTCTTACTCTGCTGACTGATCTAGGAGAAAAACTTTATCTGAGTTTCTCATGAATACTATTTAGCAGATTGAGAAAATTTCTCTCTATTCATAGTTTTCTGAGAGCTTTCTTTGTGCAGTGGATTTTGTCAAATTCTTTGTATCCATTAATTTGAGTCATCACAAATTTGTTGTTTTTGTTCCTGTCATCCTGTCCATGTGATCTATTATCCATTGTTTCTCTTATGTTGAAATGCCACCACACTCCTGGGATAAATCCCACTTGGTTAAAGTAAAGAATCCTCTTTATTTACAAAATATATTGTTCTGAGATTTTATTTTATTATGATTCTTGTATTCAGCTTTAGGATTAGAGTAATTCTAGCCTCATAGAATGGGATGGGTTATAAATTGTTTTCTCATCTTGAATTTCTTGGAATATTGAGAAAATTGCTGTTAATTTTTTAAGTGTTTGGTGGAATTCATTGGTTAAGCCAGTATTCTTTGTTGTGATGTTTTTGATTACTGATTGAATCTCCTGACTTGTATAGATTTATTTCAAATTTCTTTATTTTCATAATTTAGTTATGATAAGCTGTGTGTTCCTAAGAAACTACCCATTTCATTTCAGTTATCTAATCTGTTGGCAAGTAGTTATTCTTAGTTATAATCTTTTAAATCTCTGTAAGTTTGAAAGTAATGTTCTCTTTTTCATTTCCAATTTTAATTATTTGTTTCCTCGTCCTCAATTCTGTGGTTTATTTTAAAGAACTAAGATTTTATTTACTTTTCCTATTAGTTTTATGTTTTCATTCAATTATTGTACTTCTCAACTCCAGAATTTCTTTTTGTTCCATTTTATACTTTCTGTCTCTGTATTGATATTCTCATTTTGTTTAGATATCTTATATCTGGTTTTGCCTATGTCTTTTGTTAGCTCTCAGAGCATCTTCAAGAGATCTATGTAAAGCTTCTATCTAATAAGTCTTCAATCTGTGCTTCCTCATGGATGTCTGCTTTAGATTTATTTTGCTCTTTCCCAATTTTTTCTGTAGCTTGTAATATTTTTAGCTAGATATTTGAGTATTATATAATTGTTACCATCAAATTTCTATATAAAATAACATGGGATTTGAATATAACCTACACCACACCCCCAAATACTTCAAATCATCTCTAGATTGATTATAATACCTAATATAATATAAATCCTCTGCAAAGAGTTATTGCTTATAGACTGAAAAAGAAAAAAATTGGTACATATTCAGTACCAATGCACGTCTTAATTGAATATTTTCAAACTTTGATTGGTTGATTGTGTTGATATGAAACCTGTGGATACCAAGGCCAAGAGCAATGGTGTTACTTTGGATTTCCCCTTTCTTTGAAGTTGATGTTTTTACTTATTGTTTGTTTTAATATATCTCTGTGTCAGAAATCAGTCTGAGGTGAAAGTTTAAGATCTTTTCAGGTATTTTTTGAGCCTGGGCATATGTGGTGGCTTCCTAAATTCCCTCATATATGCTCTTGTTTTTAAATGTTTAAAAAAGACTATCAGTCACTGAAATGTTTGGAAACTGTTTATTTGGTGAGGGTTCAAACACGGCATCCAGCTTACATGCCCACAGTTCTCAGTAGGAACACATATCTCCAATATTTGGAGAAAAGGTCTTTTTTTCCATTCTTTCTCCAGCAAGTTGTACCATAAATGCAACTTGCCATCCCCATGGCTACCTGCCTCAGGTTGAAGAGTGGGATAAGGGATAGGTAGCTACCAATATTAACTGCTATTTATCATTCAGTCTGTTCCCTAGAAGATTGAAAGTATTCAAATAAAATCCAGAGTCCAAAGAGTAACTTCATTGCTTTCTGCCAGTATAATTTTCAAGGTACAGCGGTGCTTCTTACTCCTCCAACTTTCCTGATATCCTTCTCCTATAATGCTAAATTATTATTATTATCATTATTATAGTTGTAAATGGACAAAATGCCTTTGTTTATTTTTATGTGGTGCTGACAGGATCAAACGCAGTGCCTTGCACATGGTAGACAAGCACTATGCTACTGAGCTACAGTCCCAACCTTGTGATGCTAACTTTCAAAAATTTTCATCCCCAGATCAATTTTTTGCTCTTATCTTCCTTGTTTGTGTCTCTACAGACAATACCTGTTGATTTCTATTGTCAACAAACTCCATATTGTTTTTGCCCAATAAAAGGCACTGGCAGGAGACTAGAGGAGAATGGAAAACAGCAGTAGTAAAAAGCCAAGATATTTTACTCCTCCACATGCCTACATGCCCCAGTGCTGCCACAGTTCTGCTGGGGATCATGACTTCTCTGGCTGCAATGCCTTCTGTGTGAACACTTCTCCAGTTCTCCACACATGCTGGCAGAAAGTGTGTGTGTGCTTCCTAAGTAAAGTGATCAGTTTGGGGTTTAAGAATAATAAAAATAAGAATAAAATGAAAATACTGTCGTTGAAATATATACACACAAACACATGTGCATATATGTATGCTTATACACACAGTGTGTGTTTATATTCACTGCTCCAAGGTAACATTGGCAACTATCAATGACAGCTTTGACTTTTTCATTTTCAAATTGAAAAAATAGCAGCTTGATCAGGTAGTGCATGCCTATAATTTCAATATAATTGGCAATAGGAGTGCAAGTTCAAGGCCAGACTCAGAAATTTAGCCAGACCTTAACAAGTTTGTGAGAACTTTTCTCAAATAAAAAATAAAAATAAAAAAAGCTGGGGCCCTGACTCAGTGATAAAGCACCTCTGGGACCAAGAAAAAAAAAAGAAGAAGAAGAAGAAGAATGAAAGAAAGAGTTGCAAAAGCAAAACAAGTCCCAGATAAATGAGATGAATGGCCCTCAAATAGAGATACTTGGGCATATATAAGTATGTGTACCAAATAGGGAAGGGGGCCTTACCCTGGCTGTGAGATTTCTTTCTACAACAACAGTGTAGCCCAGGTCTTCAAGCAGCCTCTGCATCCCTTGGATGTCATATTCAGACCCATTGCGCCTTGGGAGAGAGTCAAACTCTGTGTTACAGATGATGAGGGCCAGGCGAGTGCGGGTCGCCTTCTCTTTGATTGGGTAGATCTGCAGAATAATGCCAAGTTATGTGCAATTAAAGTTCTCAATATATTCACAGCATACTCAGGCAACACTCTCAATGACATAAAATAACTGTTTGTTCATCTGCTAACTTTTGCTGGAACCATTTCTTTCTCTCCTTCTTTAATGGTAGAAAGAGTTTTAGAAAGAAATCAGACAAAATAAGGGGAATAGGGAAAGCTACAGCAAGAAAAGCAAACTCCCAGAGTAATGAATAAGAACAGATGTGGGCTATTTATTCAATGATCTCCTGGAGTAGACTAGAATACTTTTTGTCCTTCCTTGTCCCTTTGCTTATATTTAGCCAAACTTTATCTGATATAAAAGACCCATATCAAAATTCTTGAATACTAGATCATTCCCCACCTTCTTCAGTTGACATTGATCATAACAATCCTTAATTTTATTTTATAGTATCTATATATAAACACAAAGTAGCATCAATATATCATGCATCAAAACATTACTGTTTCATTATTGCACATCTAATTTTCCTGATAGAATAAAATCCCTTCTGTCAAGATCATATTATAATAAAATACTCATATACAGTTATTTTTTAACCCCTGAGGTACTTTCATATATCTTAAAATAAAAACCCACTGTCAGCCAGCTATGGTGGCTCATGCCTGTAATCCCAGTGGCTTGGGAGGCTGAGGCAGGAGGATTGCAAGTTCAAAGCCAGCCTCATCAATTTAGCAAAGCCCTAATCAACTTAGTGGGATCCTCTCTCAAAATAAAAAAAATAAAATAAATAATGCTGGGGATGTTAGGATGTTGCTCAGTGATTAAGTACCCCTAGGTTAAATCTAGGTTCAACTCCCTGGTACAAAAAAAAAAAAAGAAATACTATTACTCTTAAGTCCTCTGTATATTTACATCTAGGGAATCTTTCTACTTCATTTGATTCCCTATTCCATTAATTTTCCATCTCACCCTTCCAGCCTCCTTTGTGCATAGTTCCAGGAATTTTTGATGAGAACAAAGCTTGAGTAAGCCTCTGGATTCTTCAGATACTGGCTCTGGTCTTCCATCAATAGCTTCTGCACAAATTTTAAAAGACATGACAAATGTGATATATGGTATCCTGGTTCTATTGGTGCATCCCAGAACCCAAATCACCCCAGTAATAGTCAGAATGTACTAATTATCTTGGAATATAAAAGAAAACTTTGTGGGAAAACTGTTAGCTGGTAAAAACTAGTTGTGTCCAACATCTTGTTAAGTTAGGTAAATTGTGGTCAGGCAAGAGTTGTTGCTCCTTTGTGGGAAAAGTTAACTGATTAAGAGAGGTACTCCAGATGCATCAATATATGCATGTGACTCTGGTGAGGACTAGGAAACAATAGGTCTAATAAGACTCTATTGATCTGCCTTGGTTTTGAAAACTTCATTAAGAATCTCCTTTGAATCTAATTCAGATTTATAAGGATTGTCTAGCTGGTCCCTAAGAACAGCTAGAATGTGCTTTGTTTTGGATGGATAACTCTCCCAAGTCTCTCTCATTGTATGTAGTTATCAACATTGGATTCTCATTTCTCCTTGATTTCTTTATAAGGCTATTTTTAAAAGCTGAGTGCTTGGCTCTACTGAACAATGGAGGACAGGCTGTCCAGTTGTTTATCCTTTCCTTTCAAGTTATGGAGCAGCCAAGATGCCAGGGCATCAGTGGGGTGGGTGACCAGCTGTCCTTGCTGAGGATCTAGAACTCAGAATATAGGTCCATCGACTGGGCAAAGTGTGTGAAAGTCATCAAAAGTCTCATCAAGCAGGCTCAGGCTGGAGAATATCGATACTCATTTCCTCCCTGAGTAGTCTTTGATGCTTTCTTGGGGAAATAGCCATTTTATCCCTAAATGAGCCTCAAAAGAAAGAAAAAGGTGTGGACAGATGTTGCAGGTTTTGGTTTGTTTGGTTGATTGAACTCAGACAAAAGTAAGGCAATGATTAGAAGTAATGGCAAGTTTGACACAGAGTCACAAGAAACAGAGTCCCTGTGGATCTCTGATTTGGCATCATTGGATAGAAAGGTCTGTTTGCACAATACAATCAGCTTGGCAATCCTCAGGATGGGATTTGGAAGCAGGCTTTACTCCTGATTCTACCGCATAACAGCTATATGAACTTAGATTACTTAATATCCCCTGTTTCTAATTTTCCCACTTCTGAGTGAGAACAAAAAAAAATCAGTTTACATATTAGATTTTTGTGCATATTTAGTGATTTAACATCCAAGAAGTACTTGAAGCAATGTGTGACTATATTAAGTTTTATGTGAGTGTTAACATCATTATTTTTCTCTTGCTACTACAAATATAATGTGGACTTAGAAAACGATGAAATCAGAATTTGGTGTTGTGTGCACATGTATGGTTCACATTAAACCACAAAGCACTGATATGCCTGTTTGCCATTGCTTCTGCAATGAAAGTGAGTTATTCTCATCTAGAGTCTAATGCTACTTTTGATTCCTGAAATTATCCTGGTGCTTTTCCACAGGCTTCCTTTTTCTGTCTATTTCTAGTGATCTCATCCAGTCCTAAGATTTCAAATGGATATCATAATTTTATGTCTCCAGCTCTTCTGGGTCCAAACTCATAATCAAGCCTTTCCTTAATATCTCCTATATCTATAATGTACCAGAGCATTGGCATTTATTTAAAGAGGATCAAAAGCTGAGGCTGGAGATATGGAAAGTGTGTGTCAGATTAAGAACAGTGGGTTTTATTCTTGGGACATTAGTAGATTAGTAAATGGGCAGTGTTTCAATTGGAATATTTCATCAATTACTGTATGTTGGTCCTTATTACCCTTTATTTGCCATTAGTATTGAGCATCTTTCATGAAGAAACAGCTCTTAGATTGAGCACTGAAAAGACTGTAAGACACATTTCTAATATTTCTAATTGTAATAAAGCAAGAAAAAGAATGATAAATTGCACTTGATTTATGCAGAAGTGATGAAGTGGACTATCACTATTGGAAAACTTGAAGTAATATAGCTGAAGTAATATGGTGGACAAGTTGTCAAGTAATAAAACTTGAAGTAATATGGTGGACAAGTTGTCAAGAGAAATGGATTGAAAAAATGTGTGTCATCAAATAAATGACAAATAAGGGAAGGGCATGTGGTTCTAATGTGTCCTCAGGAGACTTCATGAATTATAAAGGCTTAATGTCAAGGACCAAAGTAAAAACTTTTGTCTCTTATTCATTTGGAGAGATTAGAAAAAAAGGCTTCAAAATTATTACTGAAGGACTAAAGGATTATCCACAGATAAAAAGACACTTCAAGTGAAGAAGAGACTAGGAGAATTTGATTTTAACAAAGCAAAGGAGAGCAGGAAGAGCAGGCCAGCATGAATGGGAGACCGAGTGTAATAATATATTAGGTTAAGAGCTGCTGAGTCATCTGTTATCTGGCAGGTAAAGAAAGCATGCATTAGATGCCAAGATACAAGGACAGAATTGAGAATGTGACTGTAGTTAATAATAATGTATCTTAGAAAATTATTTAGAGAGTGGATTTTAAGTATTCTAACCACAAAAAAAGGGACAAGCCTGCAATGTGACATATACATCAATTAGCTTGATTTAATCTTCCCACAATGGACCAATAGAGCAGAACATTGCATTCTACACTGTACATATCTATAGTTTTGTGGATTAAGTCATTTAGAATTTTTTAAATAAAATCTTGGAATCTCACCTGAAGAAAATCCTAATTCATAAGCAAGGCTGGAATCTCTCTTGCAGATATAGTCAATAAGTTTTTGGCTGGCACAGGACCCTTTTGGAATGACTGAATCGATCAAATCACGGGCTTTGTCTTTAGTTGTAGCATTTTTCTTTTTCACATTTTCAGCCTCCTCTTGGTTCACTACCTCTTCACTTAGTAGGTCATCCAGCAAAGTGTAAAGCGTATCCTCAGACACGGAGATAATAAATGTTTTCCTTTTCTCCTTTAGTCTCTTATCTGTTGGAAGCACAACAGTGTTGAAATTAATTGCCAGCTCAAGAAATACAACCGCCACCTCAATAAGTAGGCTTCTTTCTTCTTTTTTTTTTTCTATATTTCCTCTTTGTGGTTCAGATATTCCAAGGGATGGTCTAATTAATGTATTTACGATCACTGCTATTCCTTCTCAACCCATGGGCAGCCACTCATAGAAGTCTAACCCAGCACCCTCAAAAACAAGGCTCTACTTACCTGGTGGTTCTTCTGGTTCTGCCTTACTGAGTTGCCAGGAAAGGCCTAAGAAGCTCCAACTGTTGTATTTCTTTGATGAATATAAATATATCCATGAAATCGGAGTCAATAATGGTCAGATTTATGTCATTTTCCCTTCTTTTATTTAGAAAGACTCATCCTTGGTGATTGCACTATGCAGATTCTGAACTTCAGTCATGTTTGGAACATGAGCATTCAGGGAAGATCCATAGCTCATTCCCTACGAGGCCATTTATAAGAGCCTGACAGAATATAGCTCAGAGAAGGAGGGCTCCTTCTTTTCTCCTCTAACTAAAAATTGTTCACACAAACTATACAGATTCTAGTAAATAAAAGTTGAAGTGAGTCAATATCAAATATCTTTCCTAATGCCCCAGAGTGATCAAAAGAAGTCTTACCAGCCATGTCCTCTGAAGCTGTCTTCTTAGGATAATAGGAGGAATCAAAGGGGAAAAAATACTAAAAAGAAACAGGATTTTCCTGTTGAGCAGAATATGACTATAATTTGGGGTGGAGCTACTGCATTGCTTATATGGATGTCCTGTGTGTGTGTGTGTGTGTGTGTGTGTGTGAGAGAGAGAGAGAGAGAGAGAGAGAGAGAGAGAGAGAGAGAGGGGCAGAATTAAACATTGATCTGGGAAACTGCTAAGACAAATTAAGTCAACTCATCTACTATAAATCCCCAACTCTATGAGCCCCTCATCTCAGTCTTGGATAGCTGGTCATCAGAGAGACTCTCAGCAGCACCTGCATAAGGGCTGACTACTCCCAGCCAACTCACAGAACTAAAACCTGTCTCCCACATTAGAAGAATCATTATTTCTTTCCACATTAAAAGAATCATATTTAATTGACTTTTTCAGTTGGTATTCAGCAGGCTGTGCTATCATATTGCAGCCTGTGGAATGGTCTCTGCTTTTCTTCTCAGTTCTGTCACCTGAGAAGAACTCTATAATGTCATTTGATCCCATGAGCAACTTTAATAAAAAAGCGCATACAAGTCTTTTTAAAATATAATGTTTTCTCAGGTAAGCACCTGTAATCCCAGAGACTTGGGAGGCTGAGGCAGATAATCACGAGTTCAAATCCAGCCTCAGCAACTTAACGATCCTGCCTCTAATAAAATATAAAAAAGGGGCTGAGGATGTGGCTCAGTGGTTAAGTGCCCCTGGGTTCAATCTCTGGTATGTATAAATAAACAAACAAACAAACTGTTTTCTCTTGTTCTTAGTCTATATTTTAGTGAAAATATGTCAAAATATTTGAAAAAAAAAAAATCTGCAGGATGAGTCTTTGCACAATCCTGGTACCTGTCACCTCAGATGACTAGGGATGCCTACTGCAGTTTCCTCTATAGACAGAATCATTCCATGCCTCCAAAGGCCACTTGTAACATGGGGCTAAGTACAACAATGTTCTCTCTGTTCTGAGCCACTTGTTTCTCTGTTGCCATGTGTCATATACCAAATTTCTAAGTTGATAAACTACAGGCTGATTGACTGCATTCAAATGCCATTAGTCTAGGAATTAGAGAATTACTGCGTTTGGTACCAGTTTTACCACTTTCAATCTCCATGATCATGGACAAATAGCATTCTTTCTAAGCCTCATTTTTCTCCCTAAAATTAGAGGGAATCATGTGTCACCAATGGAGGTGATTCTTATGAAGAACTTGTGAGATATTTTATACTTTAAATGATTTAGTAAACAAAAATACAGAGACTAGAAAATTCACTCACAATTAAATATGTCCCATATATGGTATGGGACCTTTTTCATCTAAATATTTGAGGCATATGTATGCTAAATGTATTTGTTGTTTAACTGAAATTTAAGTTTAATTGATGTCCTGTATCTTCTCTGGGAACATTATGGCATAAGGGCCAGATTAGTTTCTATGGTGGAAGGCATCCTCTGCATTACAGGATTGTTAGCTTTTACCTACTAGAAGCAGGTAAAATTCTCCCCATTGTGGCTACCAAACATGTCTCCAGACTTTGCCAAATCTCTCTCACCTCATGATGAGCTTCTGTTGAATTTAAGTTACACATGGGTGTTTAAAGTCTCTGCTCTTTTGCTTACATGTTTTATCACCTTGGAAAAGTTACTTAGCCTCATCCACTTTAACTATGAAATGGGCATAACAATAATATGTTCTTGTGTGGATTAAATTTCAAAACTTTTTCCCAAACATTTATATATGCTATATACATGCACATTTCAACTTTTTACTCATTTAATATATATGGTGCTCCTATGAAGTAGATAGTATTATTAAGACCATTTTATAGATGAAAAAACAAAAACAAGAAAAACGAAGCACAGGTTAAAGCTTAAGCATGTACCCCAAATCACACAGCAAGTAAGTGGCACACTTGGAATTCAAACCCAGGTGGTCTGGCTACTGAATCTGTTTCATCATTATGTCAGGCTTTCCCTAAGAACTGGGGGCAGAATTGATGGCAGGTGGTTTGGTGTGTAATAAGAATTAAGTATGTTGTATTGATTGTTAGATTAGTGCTATTATTTTATACAGCTCTGAATGTGGGTGTTGGGCTGTATGCTCTTTGAACTTTTTAAACTTTGTTTACAAGTACTTTGGAAGTTTGAAGGTATGAGAGAGGAACAGCAGCATCCTCTAGTGAATAATGAACCTGCACAATGGCTCAAAGTATGAGATGAATTCGAGGGAAAATTTAGAGTTTCTCATTCCCAGTCCAGGTCTCTTGTATCACATCCACTTCTTTTTATAGCATTGTGCCCAGTCAGAAGGCAAGGAGGTTAATATTGAGGGAGGGTCTGCTTTCATAGGTATATGATAAGTTAAAGGACAAAAGTATAAGCACAGGAAAAATATATGCCAATAAAAGAGACTAGAAAATTCACTAAATGGCAGTACAAACAATGCTATAATGGGATTTCAGAAAAAGATGGATTTATAAGTGTTCTGGGCTTTCAATGACTCTTGAATGTACAAATGAAAAAAGAAGGAGGAGGAGGAGGAGGAGGAGGAGGAGGAGGAGGAGGAGGAGGAGAAAAAGGAGGATCATCTATTATTAAAGAGAGCCTACTATGTACCAGACATTGTGGTGGATGCTTTACAAACAACAGGGCATTGTTCACTCAGCATCCCTGTGAAAAAGATGTTAGTGCTAGATTTCCATTTTACAGATGGAAAACTGGCCTTACTCACATTAAAACTTCTCACAGGAAGTCAGTAGTTAATACTAGGAAGAGATCAAATTTAAACTCACTCCTCCATTTCAAAAGCCAAGCTATTTCACATGCAAATGCAAGGCAGGGAAGGGCATCCCATGCCTGCAGAACAGCATAAAATCGGAAGCATGCAAATCAGAATGCCATAAATGAAAACAAGGACAAGGAAATATAGCTGTTTCCTTTCAAGCAGACAATGCCTGTAATACAGCAAAATAAAAACAAGTTTATTGAGGTAAGTTGGTTCCTTTACAAAGCACTCATCACTAACTGATATTTTCAATTACTTACTTCCTCTCTGTCTTTCTCTACTTTAAAATGAGTCCCCAAGAGTGTCCTTGTCCATCTCCTTTGCTTTTATACACCATATCACACACAGTAATGATTGCTGTGTTGAGAACAATCCAGTATACATTGTAAGATGTGAATGTTAGAAAGGAAGAATAAATGTCAAACATAGCAAATTTGTGAATAAAAATGATTTAGACAAACATATTATAATTAGGGTAATCAGTTTAAAATTCAAAATTAAGTCATGCACAGAATTGTAATCAGGGTAAATATGAATTAATTAATTTAATCATAATACATTTCCTCATTTATTTTCATTCATTACGTATATATTGATAGCATGTCTAATAAATAGCAGCCATGAATAAGAATCTAGGAATTCAAAACAAAAATACAGCATTTTTTGTTCTTAAGGATTGTTGCTGGCTACTAAAGAATGCAGACATGTGAGTTAATAATTGAAGCACAATTGAGGTTTCATAATTGAAATCTTCACAGTGTAGGCAGGTAATGCTTGTAATTCATTGTTCCACTGCTAGATGAACAGGTTTGGCAATAGCTTTCATTGGAAATAAAAGGGCTATTTTGTTGGCTCATATTTTAATAATATAATCTTAGCCTGTATTCATCTAAACTCACTCAAAAATATTTCTTTTGACCCTATTAAATATCATACTATGTGCTCAATGAGAATGAAATAAATTAATTAGGACATAGAGTCCAGACTTCATAAAGCTTATTTGCTATTAGGAAAGAGACAGTAAGTCTATGGGGCAATAAATAAAATAATTGTTAATTAGAGTATCTACCATGAAGGGAGCACAAGTAGGAGATGGATTAATTTCCTATTGTTTTTCCAACAAATTACCACAATTCAATTGCTGATCACCATGCAAATTTAATGTCTTCCATTTCTGGAGGTCATAGTCTAAAGTGGGTTTCATGGAGCTTAATGATCAAGGTGTAGGCAGGTCCCCACTTCTGGAGGCTCTAGGGGAGAATCATTCTTCCCACCTTTTCCCTCCTGGAGGCTGCCCACTTTATTGGCACATGGCTCTGTGTCACTGTGACCTCTGCTTCTATTCCCATCTCCTTCTCTGACTATTCTGCTTCTTTCCTTCTAAAGTCTTTTTTTTTTGTCTAAAGTCTTCTGATATATTGTGATTAAGTTGCCCTCCCTGGACAATGTGGGGTCACTGCCCATTTCAATATACTTAACCACAAAGCCCCTTTGGTTATGTAAGGTAACACATAACAGATGCTGGTGATTGAGACATGGACAAGTTTCACTGAGTAGGTGAAGCTGTATATTCACTAAAAGAGTGGCAATATAACGGAAAAGACTGTTCATTAATCAGCCACTCTCTGAGAGAGAAGGGAGGATGTCCAAGTGCAATGAACTCTTTGATGGAACTGTCATCTCCTTGAATTTAATTTCATGGGTTGTAGATAACATATACCACAAAACCTCCCCTGGCATTCCTGTGAACTAGAAACCAAGATTTCCTAATTTCCTGTTGTCCTTGCTGATGTTGCCATTCTCCTTTCCATACTTTTAGATCTATAGCAAAATATGTAATGGAGTTTAGGGTTATTCCTACTCAGATGATGGACTCAAATCTTATATCACAATCTATTATACTGGCTGGATATTATTTTTTTTTCTAAATTGGGGAGGAGAGAGAAAGTACTATTGTAATATTTATTCATAATTTTAGGTAAGTGGATATCATGAGAATTTTAGGTTTGGCTTGATCTCAAGTATGGAGTTAATGAAAAACCTACAAAAATTGCAGTGGAAAATGGCTCTGAATGAAACTGCTAATGAAAGACCCTGACTTAGGTCAGTGATTTTAGACTGGCTTGGAATGATTTCATGGCTAGAGCTAGAGTCTGTG